CCATCAAAGGCTGCAATGAAGAGCCCTCCATGTCAATTCACCAAACATTAACATCACTTTAAACAAAGTCATAATTCTTCCCAATAGTTAGGTTACCTTGAACGTCTCCAGACTATTAACTCAAATCACAAAACGGGTGGTTAGCGCGGTGGCCCTGAAGTTTTAAAACTCACTTGCCATAGATTCGAACCCCTCCCATTCGGTGATTTGCTTGCAGTTATCTTATTACGATATCGTGAGTCATACTGCACAAACTAACACTAGAGTCGCCATCGCAACCAGTACATCCAACAAAGACCTGACCAGGACCAAAGTGGAAAACCTTGAACTTGTAAGAGCAAGTGTTTACAAAAACCCTTGCGGAGGCTGTGACAAGATATGCGTTGGTGAAACAGCACGTATCCTACAAACACGTCTCCATGCATCAATGCATTCAGAAACGACTACTTGTACAACGTATGTGTACAACACAGGAACTCCACCAACCATTTCATATGATTCAGTAACGCCCACCTAGTGATCAAAGAAGCAAATTTCCGCAGACATAAATTCCTTGAATCATCTTTAATCGCCATTGCAGACACTGTCATTTTTGAGGTATTATCACGGGTTCTTCTCAAAAGACTAAATCCTGTCATCACATAGCAATCAAGACTTACCCCACCTCTACTACTGCTGCTACTACTACTACTACTACTACTACTACTACTACTACTACTACTACTACTATTACTATTACTATTACTATTACTATCTGGAGTGTTTATATTCTTTCACTTCACGTTACCTATGTTTGTGTTGCTTGTAACGGCTGGACAAAGCTCCTGGAGAGCGAAACGTTGCCGCAATAAAATGTCGCATTAGTTGCAAATTTGACCCTAGTGCAGTCTTTAACCATATTAACCAATCTACTGTTTAGTACATCAAGATGAGTTACAAGCAATCCAGGAGGCACAAGCCCATACAGTACAAGCTCTAGTGACAGTACAATGTCGTTCACATGGGTGCCAGTCATTCTGAGTCATTCAGCCACAGGACGATACAATAATTCCCTTATCCATAGTAGTTTGCTGCGTCTAGCTGTTCATGAAGTCCAACCACGTTGAACTATATTCCAAGTCATCAGCCTGAAATTGAATCATTCAAAATAAGAAGCAATGAGCAGATCCTTGTCCCGACGCCAGTAACATTGAGGACAGTAAAACTATCGTAGTATAACAATGGCAGTAGTATCTCCACACTTCAGTATACTATTACAACATGACCTGTTAGACTGGCAAGCAACACTACCACGAAGATGTCACCTTGTACAGACACCATCCCTTCATCAGAAAGCAATCAAAACAATTGCCTGTGTTGCATGCCTGAGGGTGTACTAGAGGAACCATTGTCTGTGTGCAATGGAAATTTTTGAGAAAACAGACAAGTTGAAGAATGAGAAGCTTGTGCAACATTTGGGAGTATTTAATACGGAAACGTTTCCGTATTCAGGATTCCCAAATGTTGCACAAGTTTCTCATTCTTCAACTAATGTTCGTCATAACTCCTGTCTTTCAAAAACAACATTCCAGCAACAGCAACGGAAAAGCTAGAGCCCTGCGACGTATACGAACATGGCTGGCAAAATAACCAGCATTTAGAGAGGAACCTCATGATGACGTGTCGGTCAGTGCTGTACCACTGTTAAATCACAGCTTTACTTGTTGAATGAGTTGATTTAGTATCTTTATTTTGTACCCCATACCCATGGTGTGGATGGTAGTAAAAAGATTACAGAGGTACAAAATGGGTCCAGGGACTGGACAAGAAAGTTTTGATAGTTGAACAAGTTACATTGGAAATAAACTGTTTACATATTTATATCTGATTAAAATCGTAATGAGTTAGTTATACAGACATGAATTAGGTCACACACAAGCAAAAGAAAAATAAGTGATAATGCGTTATTTACAGTGGTTAAAGTCAGGGTATTTTTCCAGAATGGTTAGTAATGTACCACTGTGGATAAAATACTTTGACATTCCATGAACATTTCTCAGTGAGTTTCTCTGAATTCATTAATTTTATCGTATTCCAGTACATAATGACGCAAGGTGTGACAATTGTCCATCTGGCAAAGTTTACATTTCGTTTGGTCTACATCTGCTGGTGATGATTTAACCTGCCAGAGATACTGGTAGTCCAGCCGGAGCCGGGCGGTAGTGATGTAGTGTTGGATGTACCAAACATGCGCCTCCTCCTCCTCAGTTATCAAACTGATAACTGACAGCCCAAGATTGTAATCTAGTCTCTCTTTAAAGGCACATAACTTTTTCAATTCGTCAGTTTTATCATGCATCTGAAGACCAATGTGAGATGGAATTCACAGCATGTGCACTCTGACTCCACTGTCCACAGTCCTACCATACCTGTGTCTGGCGTCTGACACAAGCATGCAGCAATTTATACTTAAAGAGTTGAGACCATTTATGGATGATAAAGAATAATATACAATTAATGTGTTAACCTTAGAAACATGGACACATTTGAGTGCAAGGAGTATGGCCCGGTGGCTAAAAGCTCCCGCTTCACACACGGAAGGCCCGGGTTCGATTCCCGGCGGGTGGAAACATTTCGACACGTTTCCTTACATCTGTTGTCCTGTTCACCTAGCAGCAAATAGGTACCTGGGTGTTAGTCGACTGGTGTGGGTCGCATCCTGGGGGACAAGATTAAGGACCCCAATGGAAATAAGTTAGACAGTCCTCGATGACGCACTGACTTTCTTGGGTTATCCTGGGTGGCTAACCCTCCAGGGTTAAAAATCCGAACGAAATCTTATCTTAAACAGTTCTGTTTGAAGGGTAGAGGCCAAGTTATTGATGCGTGCTCCAGTTTCTTTATGAGAGCCATCACTGTATGACAACAGCAGCACTACCAGCTGCACCAGTGGACTGGTGAACACAACCATCATCATTAATTTGTGAAAGAGTGTGTTACCAGTGCAGCTTAAGGCATCCTGCCTGGCTTCAAGAAGCTTTGCTTGAGATTTAAGAAGTCATTTTTTTTTTTTTTTTGGGGGGGGAGGGGAGGGATAGTGGTTTGGAATGGGGTAATATTCCATGGAGCTGGGAAGTGTCACTGTTGCCTTATTTGACATAGATCATGTATCTGGTTAGTGATCCATCTGGAGGAGTGTTCACCAGTTTAGAGGGCTTCTGTGCAAATGTTTGAAACATACTGACTCAGTGACACGATCTCTAATGCTTGGGATATCAAGTTCTTTACGCATATTTAGAATTTTGGCAGTACGAGGGTATCCTGGAATGATCCTCATTGCTTCGTTCTGCAGTTTTTCCAGCCCTCCAAGCTTCCAGTCAGACACGAGTGCAAGTAGTGGTGCAGCATAATCAATGATCTAATATAAGCAAAATACATAATTTTCACAATTTTAACATTAGCACCATACCTGGGATGAAAACCTACGACAACACTACGTGCTTTCAGCTTTCTTTGTATTGGCGACAAAGTCTTGTTACAACAGGTCCAAATAATGGGATCTCAAAGCTTGTAGATACCTGTATCTGGTTACATATTCTAGTCGAAACTCATCATATAACTAGATCCTACAGGTTGCGCCTCTCTGTCGAGGAGGACGCCTGTTAAATTTCTTCGATTTCTCAGTAAAGATAATCAACCCCAGGTCCTGACACAAGACTAGTACATGGTTTAGGATGTATTGGGTGTTGGAGAATCCGGTGGTGTAAATCATTATGTCATCAGCAAAGCTAATCATATAATGATCGGGCTGGCTACGCATAGCATTTAGTAAAGAATTTATTAGAATACTGAGTAAAGTGGGGCTGAGCACACCTCCCTGTGGGGTTCCTAATTCAAAGTCTTTAGTTTTACTTCTGTGTCCCTGGAACAACACAGAAGACTTTCTGTTGGACAGGTAGCCTTTCATCCAGCGGAGAAGCCATCCTCCAACATCCATTCTGGCAAGTTTACTAATGATTACATGTCAGTTGGCTACATCAAAAGCAGATTTGAGCTGTCAGTGTGCAGGGTGAGGAGCGTGCAATGACGCACGCTCCTTCTATGCATGAAACCATGCAACCGGGGAAACAAAAATTGTTTGATTCTGTGCATGAGACGATTAAGAATCATCCTGTCAAATGTTTTACACAAGCAGCTAGTAAGAAATATTGAGCAAAATGCATTTTGTTGATTGGGCTTTAGGATGGGAATGATGAGGCTGTTTGTCCAAGATTTAGGGAGCTCCCCAGTTACACATCTCTAGTTGTATAATTCAGTTAAAGGATTACCTGGTATTTGATATATTCTGGGTATGGTGTACGTAATACCATCCTTCCCAGGCGACGTGGCGTTGAATGAGACACATGTCTTATACATCACAAAGTTAAGTGGTCGTCGTCACAAGTTTCCATCTTCTAAGTACGCGTTACGAATTGTTTCAGCCACGGTATTGTGACTTTTTTGTCTTCTAACAAATTTAGCATCACGAACGTGTGTGTGTGAGCTGCACTCGCCTAGCATAGACCAGCAGACCTGCTGCAGTGTTCGTCCCTTCTCATGTTGCTATATAACCAGGCATCATCTGCCTCAGCAAATACTTATATGACTAAGACGTATATCGCAGTTCGGAGAAGAAACCTTGAACCCCCGGAGAACTGTTCCTGCAGGGAAATGGAACTATACTCCCTTTTCTCGGATCAAACTTGTCTAAAGTCCATTCCCCAGATGCTGCATAATCCACACAGGTTTAACGCTTCCCAAGGTATACAATAATTACGATAATAAAAACAATAATAATTATAACAACAATAATAATAATAATAATAATAATAATAATAATAATAATAATAATAACTGAAAAAGGAAATCTTTAGTGAAAATAAAATGAACAACTATGGATGCCAAAAGAGGTGAAGGTCAGTGTGTGGAACCTGAGGGAAGGTTCAGGTGAGGTGTTCCACCCAGACAGTGGTTCAGGTAAGATGGTTCACCCAGACTGTGGTTCAGGTGTGGTGATTCACTCAGACAGTGGTTCAGGTGTGGAGATTCACCCAGACAGTGGTTCAGGTGTGGTGGTTCACCCAGACAGTGGTTCAGGTGTGGTGGTTCACCCAGACAGTGGTTCAGGTGTGGAGATTCACCCAGACAGTGGTTCAGGTGTGGTGGTTCACCCAGACAGTGGTTCAGATGAGGTGGTTCTCTCAGACAGTGGTTCAGGTGAAGTAGTTCACCCAGACAATGGTTCCAGTGTGGTTCATGTGTGGTGGTTCAGCCAGACAGTGGTTTAGGTGAGGTGGTTCACCCAAACAGTGGCTCAAGTGAGGTGGTTCACCCTGTTAGGGAAATGCTGCAAGCTAAGTCAGAGTAAATAATGGACAGCCGTTCCTGTAGGGCCGGCGATGTCTTGAGAAGCTGTCGCATGCAATCCCTAAGGGCTGTGTGAAAAAATGTTGTGTAAGTTTAATTACCCCTAGGGGATGTTGTGTCAGCATATGTCAGAAACTGACTGCTGACAAGAATTTATACTCGTGTGTGTTGGGCTAAAAAGCCCGCCTGTAACCGGGTTTGTGGTAAGTTACTAGATCGTATCTTGGTTCTCAACTGCGCAGTTAATTGAACTACAATACATCATAGTATACTTTCCTGGGTATATGTATTGGACCCTTATTAATAACCCAGGTATCAGTGTTTTGATTGAAGCAGACATGTTCTTTGAAAAAATGTCACACTACACTCCGTCAGGATCGCAACACTCGTTGTTATACACTTCTTCAAATATTGTCTATTATTCACAATCTTATCACTAAAGAATCTGATCACACTTCTCTGTGTTTTAATGTATTCTTTGAGATACTTTTATGCACAAAAGCACGCAGATCAGTGTTCTTTGTTCGTTATCTCGGCGTCAATGTGACCCTTGGCAGGGTTAAAAGTAATCTAAGCTAAGACGCCCCTCGGCGCACTTTGCTTGTCCTCAGCTACAAAGGATAAGCTGACGTAGCATATTTCCCCTGCTTGCCAAACTTCCACTATGAAGCAAAGCAAATGCTTGATTCTTGCTGGGGATAGACAACAATGTACACTATCTTTAACATGGTAATAAAGTGGGTGCAAAATTTTCCCTAATTGTCCTGCTAAGGTAAGAGATTGATTGTCTCTCATTAAACTACACTTTTTGCAACACTGGTCTCTTGCAAAGACGTGGCATGACCTGTGACTGGTACATGCTGGTTAAATATCCGCTTGTAATTACTTGATGTGGAACTAAACAAGATGCTTGCCCCTTCTGAGAGGGCTGGGCCCCTCAGGGCTGAAAAGGGCTGAAGGGGGCTGATAACACCCTCCTGGAGGAAATTTCTCCACACACCCAGACCGTGGCAGGTGAGGTGGTTCACCCAGACAGTGATTCAGGTGTGGTGGTTCACCTCAGACAGGAGAACCAGGCATGACTCACCTATCACACCAAGAAAAAGGTGGGCGCACTCTAGCCTCCAGCTGCCTTACGTGACCCTTCCATACCACACTCTCTCTTCCCTCTCTCTCGTCTCCCCTTCCCTCTCGTCTTATACCCTCTTCTGCCATATCCTTCCCTCCCCTTCTCTATAATTCCCACTTTCCATCTCCTTCCATCCTTGAATTTCCATTTTCTCTGCGTATGAGATGAAGCATTCTGAGAGAGACGGTTATTCTCACCTAATAATATTATTAATTGTGATAGTAACTCCAGTTCTACTCTAACTAAATATTGGAAGCAGTTGTAGCTGATGATAATTTACTGGGATGCTCAGGTTGACACTGCTGAAGTCTCCCAGCTCAGGTTGACACTGCTGAAGTCTCCCAGCTCAGGTTGACACTGCTGAAGTCCCCCAGCTCAGGCTGACACTGCTGAAGTCTCGCAGCTCAGGCTGACACTACTGAAGTCTCCCAGCTCAGGTTGACACTGCTGAAGTCTCCCAGCTCAGGCAGACACTACTGAAGTCCCCCAGCTCAGGCTGACACTGCTGAAGTCCCCCAGCTCAGGCTGACACTGCTGAAGTCTCCCAGCTCATGCTGACACTACTGAAGTCTCCCAGCTCATGCTGACACTACTGAAGTCTCCCAGCTCATGCTGACACTACTGAAGTCTCCAGCTCATGCTGACACTACTGAAGTCTCCCAGCTCATGCTGACACTACTGAAGTCTCCCAGCTCATGCTGACACTACTGAAGTCTCCCAGCTCATGCTGACACTACTGAAGTCTCCCAGCTCAGGTTGACACTGCTGAAGTCTCCCAGCTCATGCTGACACTACTGAAGTCTCCCAGCTCATGCTGACACTACTGAAGTCTCCCAGCTCATGCTGACACTACTGAAGTCTCCCAGCTCAGATTGACACTGCTGAAGTCTCCCAGCTCAGGCTGACACTGCTGAAGTCCCCCAGCTCAGGCTGACACTGCTGAAGTCTCCCAGCTCAGGCTGACACTACTGAAGTCTCCCAGCTCATGCTGACACTACTGAAGTCTCCCAGCTCAGGTTGACACTACTGAAGTCTCCCAGCTCAGACTGACACTACTGAAGTCTCCCAGCTCAGGATGACACTACTGAAGTCTCCCAGCTCAGGTTGACACTACTGAAGTCTCCCAGCTCAGGTTGACACTACTGAAGTCTCCCAGCTCAGGTTGACACTACTGAAGTCTCCCAGCTCAGGCTGACACTGCTGAAGTCTCCCAGCTCAGACTGACACTACTGAAGTCTCCCAGCTCAGGTTGACACTACTGAAGTCTCCCAGCTCAGACTGACACTACTGAAGTCTCCCAGCTCAGGTTGACACTACTGAAGTCTCCCAGCTCAGGCTGACACTGCTGAAGTCTCCCAGCTCAGACTGACACTACTGAAGTCTCCCAGCTCAGGTTGACACTACTGAAGTCTCCCAGCTCAGACTGACACTACTGAAGTCTCCCAGCTCAGGTTGGCACTACTGAAGTCTCCCAGCTCAGGTTGACACTACTGAAGTCTCCCAGCTCAGGTTGACACTACTGAAGTCTCCCAGCTCAGGTTGACACTACTGAAGTCTCCCAGCTCAGGTTGACACTACTGAAGTCTCCCAGCTCAGGTTTGACACTACTGAAGTCTCCCAGCTCAGGTTGACACTACTGAAGTCTCCCAGCTCAGGTTGACACTACTGAAGTCTCCCAGCTCAGACTGACACTACTGAAGTCTCCCAGCTCAGGTTGGCACTACTGAAGTCTCCCAGCTCAGACTGACACTACTGAAGTCTCCCAGCTCAGACTGACACTACTGAAGTCTCCCAGCTCAGGTTGACGCTACTGAAGTCTCCCAGCTCAGGTTGACACTACTGAAGTCTCCCAGCTCAGACTGACACTACTGAAGTCTCCCAGCTCAGACTGACACTACTGAAGTCTCCCAGCTCAGGTTGACACTACTGAAGTCTCCCAGCTCAGGCTGACACTGCTGAAGTCTCCCAGCTCAGACTGACACTACTGAAGTCTCCCAGCTCAGGTTGACACTACTGAAGTCTCCCAGCTCCGACTGACACTACTGAAGTCTCCCAGCTCAGGTTGGCACTACTGAAGTCTCCCAGCTCAGGTTGACACTACTGAAGTCTCCCAGCTCAGGTTGACACTACTGAAGTCTCCCAGCTCAGGTTGACACTACTGAAGTCTCCCAGCTCAGGTTGACACTACTGAAGTCTCCCAGGTCAGGTTGACACTACTGAAGTCTCCCAGCTCAGGTTGACACTACTGAAGTCTCCCAGCTCAGGTTGACACTACTGAAGTCTCCCAGCTCAGGTTGACACTACTGAAGTCTCCCAGCTCAGGTTGACACTACTGAAGTCTCCCAGCTCAGGTTGACACTACTGAAGTGATGACTCAGAAGTGTGGCAGTGTTCTCTAATAACAGTAAACACTTGTCTAGGCGGCGCAAGTGTCCGTCATCTTGATATTCCTTCATGTTCATGGACTACAGTCATTATTTACTTCCTTGACTTATTTATATATGATGACTTGCCACGTTAACTCTTATATTTGTATTTAATAGAGGGTTGGAAGGACTATCCCAGTAGGTCTACACACTATCTTGGCTGGAACAACTATCCCAGTAGGTCTACACACTATCTTGGCTGGAACAAGTATCCCAGTAGGTCTAGACGCTATCTGGGCTGGAACAACTATCCCAGTAGGTCTACACACTATCTGGGCTGGAACAACTATCCCAGTACATCTACACACTATCTGGGCTGGAACAACTATCCCAGTAGGTCTACACACTATCTGGGCTGGAACAACTATCCCAGTAGGTCTACACACTATCTGGGCTGGAACAACTATCCCAGTAGGTCTACACACTATCTGGGCTGGAACAACTATCCCAGTACATCTACACACTATCTGGGCTGGAACAACTATCCCAGTACATCTACACACTATCTGGGCTGGAACAACTATCCCAGTAGATCTGCACACTATCTAGGCTGGAACAACTATCCCAGTAGGTCTACACACTATCTGGGCTGGAACAACTATACCAGTAGATCTGCACACTATCTAGGCTGGAACAACTATCCCAGTAGGTCTACACACTATCTGGGCTGGAAGAACTATCCCAGCAGGTCTACATACTACATGGGCTGGACGGATTATCCCAGAAGTTCTACAGATTACATTGGCTTCAGGGATAGAATGGACGTACATTCCAGCAGTTGTAGATACTATACATGGGTTGATAGGATAGTGAGGACGTTCATCCCAACATTAAAACATGTTTTCTCAATATAGACTTAAACTGACCCAACATTATATCATAATTCCCCCTCTCAGCATTAATGAACAAAAGCTTCCTTCCTTCCACAGGGATGTGAGCAAATATTTCTTTAGTCTGAGAGTGATTGAATAATGGCATGCCGTGGATGAGGCAGAGGTGGAGTCAACTTCAATACACAGCTTTAAGAGTAGATATGATAAGTCCCAAGAGATCAAAAATCATTGATGCCGATCAAAATAATTTAGATGGCGGTGCCAGGAACTGGGGTCTAGTCCTCTGCAAACACATGCCATATTCCCAGCAGGATAGCAAACCATGAGGAAAGTAAGAGGAGACGGCCATGCCAGGAGTTGCAAAGCTACTGAGAAACTAGAGGAATTTTGAAGAAAAGAAAGATGTGAAAAGAAAGGGGTGAAAAGAAAGGGGTGAAAAGAAAGGAGTGAAAAGAAAGGGGT